CTTGGCATCACATACAGCTTATTAAAAAATATATTTTTGTATTTAAAATCTGCAAGAGCTAGGAAATTGATTCCTAATAGTTAAATAAAGGTCTCTTCATACAGCTACTTGGGTATACGAAGTCAGTGCCTGTAGAAAGGCTACATAACTATAGCTCAATTTCAAATGGGACAAAAAATTTGATTCCCTTAAATGATACAATAATTAACGGTAATTTATTAACTATTAATAAATATCACTCTAACCAATGAATGCAGTCTTATCACACTTTTGCATTATTATTGCAGCAGTATTTCTTCAAGAAAAAAAAAAACAATGTTATTTGACATAGAAGAATAAGAAGTGTGTTTAATGCTTCAAGAACAGCCTAGATAGATACCTCCAGCACACCACCACTTCCTGAAATTTCATTTTTACCTGGAATAGACTAAGGGCATCCCAGGGCTCCTCACGAAGAAAGAAACCCTACACACAGCGACAAGAAACCGAACTGCCTTACTACCGAAGATAGCGAAGGACAGATGTAAAGCAATTATAGGTTGCACTGGCTCGTATGTGTGGGGCAGTGGAGGGATACTTGGAGTAGACAAGTGTCAGTCTGAGAGGAAAAAGATTCCTGAAGGATAAGCGTGACTGAGATAAGCATCTGAATATTAGTCAGTGATCCTAAATAAACCTCCATGCAATTTAAAGGTTATTCCACAACTTAAAAGAGCTCCAAAGACACAGCCCTAGATGTTGCCTAACACTCTCTGTCTATGCAATGCATATATAAACCATATTTGAATAAATTCCCCAAACACATACGCTTGACCACTGACTGCAAATTGCTGCTATATTGCCAGCTGAGCTGCTTCAGATGAAGAAGCTCATGTAAAGTAATGGGATTGTCTGACTGTGATGAATTCTGTCAGCAATCATGTATATAGCACTGTTGATTTCCCACAGAAACTATTAAGCAAAGGATATGATTATGAAAATAATTTTAATTTTAAAATAATTATTGAAAATTAAAAAAAATCAAAACCAAAGCTATTATCAAAATGGATATTGCTGGCTACAATAGCAAAGCCTCGCTATATTCTACTTCCAGTTCAGGGCAGCTTGCTGATCATACCCTCTATCATAGATACAAGTGTATTGCAGAACTCAATGCCAATTACAGTGCATTAATCTCATCCATTAGTACAGAAAATATTAAGTAAAGGAGCCCCACCATCTGTAACATTACAATGTTAATTTTGTGCATATCTACATATTTTAATTAGCTCTAAAGCTGCAAGTGTGAGCAGGACGTAGCCTTTTCCATGACAATCACTGCTCTCATCCAGTGCGGCAAATGCTGGGCTTCTCATGATTTCATGGGGCCAGCAAGGCTATATATCTCGGACTGCACGTCGGACTGAAATTACACACCCTTAACCCATATTGTAGATAATGCTGGTTCTAATCAGTGAATACCATGTTTCCGCATCTTTATTGAAAGCAGTTTTGAAGCTTCCATTTTCCAGAATGCCTCACTAAACTCACACCTAGTTGAGGATCAGACTAGTACTTTTCCCATGACTACAAACAAAACCACTCCACCCTCAGACTGCATCTACAGAATGTGCTGTTTGCAGAATGACTCTGTCAATACAGATTACAGAAACAGCAGAAAAACTGAGGGACAGAGGTTTGTCTTCCCACTTCCTCAGCTCTACTAACTGAGAAGATTCTTCCCACAAGTTGTATCCTGGAAAATTTATTTGGACCTGAAGCTTTTTACCGCTATGAAACAGACTTCTATGGGGGACATACGATCAGGTTAAATCTATTACTTAAGCAAATGCCTCCTGATTTACCCAGTTTCCACATTAATAATCCTGAGTATATCCCATTTGCCCATTTGGAATGGCCTTAGTATCCACTTCAGCTGTGGTGACCCTCATGCCTGGGATATGACAGATTTAGATGACTATCTGTAAAACCAGTGTAGTGTATGAACCATGAAGGAGAAAAATAAATTACAGTGTAAACAGAAAAAAAGGTCTGTTCACATAAAGTGCCAGTCCTATTAAACAAGGTCACGGGAGGACAACCTAGTTTCAAATACATCTCAAACTCGCATATGACTAGAGAAATAATTCTATTTTCCTCTTCTCTCATTTTTTGGACAGCTGGGTGGGTGGTATCTGATTTAATACTGTGTACAGTAATTACAGTTAAAATATTGTTCATATTTTTTTATTGCTGTAAGGAAGAAAGAGTATTGGCAGACTGAGTGGGCAGTGGAAGCAGATATTTTCCATCAGTTTTGCAGAGCTTAAGTACACATTTTCAAATGTTCTTGTTTATTTTCTCTCCAAAAAGAAAACCTAATGCATGCCTACATGCATAAAATAGCCAATGCACAAATATCTATCAGAATCAGGTGACAAATAAATAGGTGGCATTTGGAAGTGCTTTATATTCACCTCCCAGAAATAAGAGATTGTAGGTGTACATTGGCAAATCAGTATAAGCCAGTACAGACTCATTAAAATCAATCCAGAAAGACTGTCAAAATCAACAGAGAAATCTCTACAGGAATAAGACATCATTCTGTTTGTTCTCTTCTTGTATATTTATTAAAGAAAAAAACCGCACACACAAAAAGATAAACATCAAGCAGGTAGTTCAGTGGCTGACAAAACCAGCTGCTGATAACGAATAAACTAGTGTCTGAATTAACCTAGGAATTACCCAAGAGTCACGGGTGCCCAGTGGTTACACTCCAGATGAAGCTGGTCAGCTGCTGGATATCACTGTTGAACAACTCCTGCACATGGTTTCTTCTAGTGAGTGGAAGATGCGTGTGAGCACTGAGCCACAGGACCACTGTGGAAACACGGCAGCTACCATTTTGCATGTGCTAACTTCAACGGTCAGCTTAGGGAACAGGAAAAAAACCTTGAGCCTTCCTCAGGAAAAAGGGGGATGTAATTTAAGGGAAGCTAAAGGCTGCCAGGATGGTGACATTGGATTGTTTTGGTTTTGTTTTCCCGCCTTCATCTTCTTTGCTCCTTTACATAGAAGTCAGACTTGACCTTTTTATTTTTAGCAACTCTATTCCTTTTTACCTCAAGCTCCTAAGAAATTATTCCCAATGAGATGAGAGCAGTTGTCTTATAAAACACAGTCATAGTAATCACACGAAAGGATAGTTTGGGCAGTTTTCAATATTAACTGCAAAGCCCACTGCTACCCATTGCCCAAGTCTGCAATACCACACATAACCTGACTTAAAGCTGTTTTCTAACAACATGTATCATGAATTAATTTTGGAGAGGAGAAGGACTGATTCACAGTTCCAGTGGTCACTGACAGTTAAAACTGTCATGAGTACATATATAACGCGAACTAGAGCATTACGGGATCATTGCAGACAGAATATTTTAAGAATGTTTTAAAATATTTTTAAAACTCACAATGTCAGGTGTAGGGACAGATGGATTAGCAGCAAGAGACCATCTGATGACAGATAAAGCAAGTAGTGTTTACCTCATGATTGCGGAGATAAGGAGTTTATCATACAGTTTTCACCTAAGCAAGATTTACTTTATATTATAACCTTGATACTGAAAAATCCCAAGAAAGTCCATTATCAGGCAAAGCCTGGTTATACAGTTGGTATCTGTAGCTGCAATTACATCATGCTAGGTTCCAAAGTTACAGTAGTCACAAGGATGTAGAAGCCTACTTTATAAAGGACTCAGGGAAACAAATCTGAGTAATTTGTACTCTTGCTGTTTTAGTAAAAAAAGAACATTTCCTAACATGTCTAGCATTGCCACCAATTCTCATTGGATCAAATACAAAGTTTTAAATGTACTTAAGATCCAGCAAAAATGTAAAATGAGACAGAAGAATAAAAAAATACAAAAACTGGTACCAAACTATTTGCTCTTTGCAGCATGAGAACCCACTCTTTTTGTATAACAGAAAGTTATCTTTCAACAACCTTACTCCAAAGCAATCCACAGTCATTAATAACTTATTGAAATAACAGCAGAATCAGAGTGGATTTCTTGGAGCAGATCAGCAGAGCTGGAATCGCCCCCCATTTGCGGAGGTGCCGGGGCTCTCCCATCACAGCACGCAGCCGCAGCTGTGCCTACGCAGCGGCCGTGCCCACATGCTCCTGGTGGAGTCAGCGAGAAGAGCACCAAAGACACTGAAAACGCCGGCATTTTCCACTCAGCTCTTTCAACTTTGGGACTTACCTTCTGGCACTGTTTCTAAGCTGTAAAATGGAATTAATTCTCCACTGTCAAGATTCATTATCAAGCACCATATACACAGGTCAGAAACAAAAGTTTCTACCTCTTAAGCTGCCCTCTGAATTACTGTAGTAATATAATTTACAAGTTTAGCAGCAGGCACATGCTGCCAGTATGCACACCCAATACTGTTTTTCTCTGTTTAGCTGAGCTGAAATTTTAGTCACATTTTTACAAGCCATTTAAGTATAGTATCCATGAAATCTGCAGCCTTCCCATGGCAAAGCTTTTCCTTGTCCAAATGCAACATGAAAAACAGTTTTCCCAAGTAGCCACCAGTTAGAACCTTGGGACAATTAGTCAAGTGGCAGCTGTTACAGTGAAACACAAAACTCCAAGACTGCTGCAATTTCTGTGGAAAGCGAGCACACTGCAGTTATAATCATGGTGATTATAAATGGCTCTTCTCTACTTTCAGAGTTGCCTATCACTGCATTACTTAAAGGAAATTTCTTTAATATCTGGGAGCATAATAAAACTTCTCCTGATCAGTCCTCCTGTATACTACTCCTTGAAAGAAAGTTAAGTCATCTCAATCCTGTAGTTCAAAAAGCCCTATTTTCATTTTATTTAAATACTGGTTCATTTTTATCAGGTTGACTGATAACATTATTCACATTAGTCAACTTATTATTTGACTTTTTATCAAAGTCTTATTTCTAAAGCTCACTTCCATCTTCTTTGACAGAGATAATTTTTAAAAAAAAGATAAAACCGTGAGAAATCTGTAGTTCCATTTATGTTCAGTTCTCTGAGAAATGCTTTATAACATAAGAATTCGATATACCTCTGGCCTTACTGGGTCTTCAATGCCAACAACACAAATGCAGGTCAGGTCAGATAATATGTCATTTTCATTGTCCCAGTCAGGCTCTGGGCTGCTGTTAAAGTCTCGGAAGGCAACACAGATAGTTCTCAGTCCATCGCAGGCCATAGGTTCAATCACTTTCTTCACCATTTCATCTCGGTCACGTGGTCTGAAGACACGAGGTTCACCGGCTGCATTAAGGATCTTGGAACATCTTTTTTATTTAAGAAAATAATAAAAAAAAAAAATTGTGTATTTGCATGACTGCTGAAAAGTATACTGTTGTATCAGCTTCTTTCATTCAACACTCTCCTTTTGGATGGTAAGTTTTAAATTTCCAGTGTAAATTTCTAGATTAAACTAGAAGATTCACTACTGAAATATCAGAGGGAATTTGTTTGTAACTTATTACAGACACACCAAGAGCCCTTCATCCATTCTTTTCTCTATACCCACGTAATTAATGAGCCAACAACTTACAATGAAATTGAAAAATCCTTATTTTCCAAATGGGCTGAACATAAAGAATCTGTTCGCAAGCTACCGAATGCAGATCCAATTCTTTGGCTAGCCAATAATAAGAAAAATAAGCCAAAGAATTTTGCAAGAGTGACAGCAGCTTATAGTACTAAAGTGTGTCATATTCATACTATAGGTAGCAAATTCCAAATACCGGAATTCCCACATACATCTTATTAGTGGCAGAATGTTTTGCATTATTGGAAAAACACAGCAACTAATCCATTGAACTTACTTCTTCAGAACAATTTCAGAAGCTCCCTTGCTGTACATTCGGAAACTCCCATCTGGCATTTTAATGACAGTACTCATTGACTTTCTCACAGAGTTGAAGGTGTAAACTTTGTAGAGTTTCTCCTCAGGGATGAGGTTCCGAACAGGCTCATAATCCTGCTTCAAATCCAGGACAAATCCCAAGAGACCACACTCTGTCTTATTGCCTACCTGACGAGGCAGGCCACCCTCTTTTTCTGGTGGCTGAAGACAAGAAAAAATTAGATATTAATTTCTGTAATGATACACAGTATACAACACCTTCTCAACAATTAATAACAAAGTTACAACATACAGTTTAAATCTGAAACTCTAACAGTGCAGTCATGAGTCTTCTAATTTTTAAAAGCTAGCAAAAAATCCATAGAGCTATAACAGACTTGAAGCAGCTATTCTCACAGTGAGGAAAATTCCTCCAGAGAAATAGCTGCATGTGATCTCTTGCATTTCTTTTATTTTAAATGATCCACTGGAAGTTGAATAGCTTGTGATGGTTAAGCAATACATCATTAAAAATGAAGTAATGTTCTTTAGGCTCAAAAATAATTAATTCTCATTCGTCACAAACAGAGGATGTCCTTTTCTCACTTGCTTAGACTTAACTATATGGTTTTGCTGACTTTCATGGTTATAATGGTGAGTTAAAGACAGATCTGTCCTTTTTTTTCCACCATGCATTTTTTACGTGAAAATAAATCTGCATCTAATCTGCACAGCAAATCTCAGTGAAAAACGTCTTTCCAATGATCTATAAAATAATAGGTCTACATTCAAAAGTACCAGTTTCTAGAATCACCATATTGCTTCAGACAGTAAATGCTTTGTATGTTAGAAGAAATGGAATAGGCAAACATTTCCCAACTCCTGACAATTCTCACTCCTTCTAGGAACAAGGAAGGCTTTACCTTCCCATTCAGAATATAAACAAACAAACATACATTCCATTTACACACCTGAAGAAGTAATACACCTCAAACAAAAAGTTCCTGTGTTGTCAAGACTCCAGAATGACTTAAAGTGACCAATGCTTGTAGACTGTTGATAACTTACATTTTCTTGTCCTCAGTAGAATTAGAAAAGCATTGCTTAAGCTAGAGCTAAACTGTACTTACAGGAACCAAAAGAAGGAGAAGTCCTTTCACAACTTTAATTTGCACTGAAAACAGATTGTGCTTTGACTCAAGATTGTAAGTCATCATTTTCAACATGACTTAAACTTTTGCCTCACATGTTGCAGAATTGGGACTGCAGGACTATATTCAGAATCCATGTTTAATTTCACTATAGACTTTAAAAATCCAGTCTGCTTTGGAAACACGATTGCTAAGTAGACAGAATTCCCTACACTGCCCCTCAGTGGGATGAGGGATCACGTAGGGAATGCTTAAAGTTGCAAATAAGTAATCCTACTTCGATTTGAATTCTTGCAACAAGTATGGCCACAAAAAGGGAAAAGAGGACCTCTAAGTAAGCATTAGTAAGATAACCAACAATCGCAGCTGGTTTAAAAAATGAAGGTTAGATAGATAATAATAGACTGGCCCAGAACTGAAGTAAGCAAATAAACACTGATTTTTCCATCAGAATCATCTATCACCAGGAAAATATATACCTGGACACAGATTAATGTCATGTCTTTTCCAGAGAGATGCATCTATGGTGAGCAATACATAATAATCTAAAAATTTCTGTCTCAAAGAGATTTATTGTTCCAAAAAGAATTGTAACATCTTTCTTCTATATGAACCATCATTTTTCCTGAGTTCTGCGAGTCACATTTGTGTTTCTATGACATTTTACTGTTACTCCAGGGTTAATGTAAAACACTGACACTCAGCAAAAATGCTAATATGATAGATTAATTTTATTATATGCTATAACATCTTGCCCTGCTATAATCCCATTATACTGTGATGCAATTTTCTTCTGGATTCTCAAAGTCACTTATGAATCCCTAATTTAAAACCCAAGTGCTTGCAGTTTTGTGTTATCTGGAAGGATTGTTACATTCAGTGGAGCTGAAAATCTCAGGAGACAAAAAAAAATACCCTTTAAAATAGTTTTGTTTAAATAAATAAAGTTCATTTTCATGACACTGCAGGCACACAGTTCCTGAAACACGCTGAGAACTTCACGTTTCTCAAACCTACAGAGCAATCAGCTTCACTGCCTGGGTAGTGATGCTAGGAAGGGCTGATTTCTCTGTGCGTATCATATCAAACTCTTTCCATTTCAGATCAAAATCTTCATTTATGCTTTGGTTCTCTCAGCCACTGAAGTCAGTGAATCTCGACATTGACTGAAATGTGAATGGGATAAAGCCACCAGCAAACACACACTGGAAACCAATGAAAGACATACATTTCTTCCCATCAAAGGCATACAATCCTAGGCAACAGTTAATTTATAAGTATGATTTCATCATGCCCTCATGTGAATGGATATTGAGAAAATAAAAATTACCCACATCTCATGATACAGAAAACTAAGTATCAGAGTCCTTCTAAAATTATTTTTATTTCAACAAAAAGTAGATCACATTCTCCTCTTCTTACTCTGGTCTAAATATAGATTTCTTTTGGCGAACATCTTTTGAATGCAAATACGTAAGCAAGGGGAAAAAACACCAGTGAGAAGAAAATGAACAGACATTTCACAAAGGTTTCAAAATCTAACAAGTGGCCACCTCCCTCTAGAGCAGCTGCTGTCTCCATATTCTTTGTATATTACATTACAATCGAGCATATGGTGGGGAGAGCTGGCAAGTAGCACTTCCTCTCCTGTCCTGTTTCAGCTCAGAATCTATATGCCAGAGCCAGCCTCCTTGCAGACTGTTCTTGACAACCCTTTGCAGAAGCTGCTGGCTTTTAAAACTTCCTACTGTGCTGTATCTAAATTTATTTCTTGCTGAAATCTGCAGCTTATGGCAACTGGAAAACATTGAAATGCAGAGTCCAAAGAGGTTACTTTTGAGTAATTAACTAGGAACAACTTCAGTGACTCCTTGGAGAATGAAAACCCTTTGACAATACAAGAGAAAGCCTTTGAATTGCGAATAGGAACTCAGTCTTTTCGAGTGCAGTTTCTCAAGAGCTCCATGGCAGATCTTTCACTAGTCACAAGAGAGCTACGTACAGTACAATCTGCTACTAGGAGACTGATCCAATACCTTCCTCCAGTAACAACTTTCCACTGATCCTTGTAAAATGTTTTCAAATGTTTCTTCCAAGTCTTTATATTATTTATGAAATAATAATATTTTCGTGGTAAGTAAATACTTGCATGTAAAACAAACTGCAGAAAGATGTTAAAAAAACAGTTGTTACAACTATCAAATCAAAATAGGTTTCTAGGCCAAAGTACAGCTGCATTACTAAGGCTTAAAAATACCAACCCAAAAGCTAGTATTGACCTAGTACTGAACTGGGATTACAAAAGGAATTTTCAGAATTATTTCACTGGAAAATAATTGACTAATAAAACAGGTTAAGAAGGAAGAAAGATAAAAGAGTGGGCATAACTGAAAGAGGTGCTTCAACTTCTAAAATTAGATTAGGAAATTATAAAGCTTCCATTTTTACCATAACACTTACTAAACCTAATTTTTTTCGTTGCCCTTTTTGATGTGAAAAGAGCACCTGGCAAGAAGATCCAAGCAGTCTTTCTAAATTAAAGTGTTAGAATTTCATTTATCATCTGAAGTTGTAATTTATGTTATTCTCCAGTGTTCTACAGATTGAATTACTCCTTTACAACAAAGACTGTAAATACACCAATTCTATTAAAACATGAACCTTGCTAGAATATTGTATCCATATCAAATGTTCTTTTTCGACTCCATTCACAATAGGCAGACAGAGGAAAATCTATTTTTAAACTGAAGCTGCTAAAAATTTCCACTCTCTATTTACTCAAAAAAGAGAAAATGGACCAGGATGTGCAGGAATTTTCTCTGTATATTTAAACTTTACACATGTAAAATTTAAAATAACCAAGAAGGATGAATGCTGTTCAAACCATGCCTTTTTTTTTTTTTTTAAATTCTCAATACTGTAAAAAGTAGAACTACTAAAAAACTATAGTACTATCAAACTCAGAGAAATTCCCTCCTTATATAATTTGAATCAATGGTTTAATGGAAAACATCTAAAGCAAGATTAAAACATTCTATATTTATAATCAAATATTCAGCTTTTTGTAGATACACATTGGTTTACACAGATGTGCATTGTTTATCAAGCACATCAGCAGTATTCCCTCACATAAAATAGGACTCAAACAAAGGAGACTGTACAGAGGGAAATAAATGGATCACATAATTCAATTGCTGAAATGTCACCATTGCTGCTCTGTATTGATGTGTGTCCCATATTTCTATTCTGAAAAGACTGTAAGAGGGGATACAGCAGGCAATTCCTTTTGCTTCCCATGATCCACAAAACCCTAATAGCCACAGCAGCTCTGTCTCTTGGGAAAACGTGCACTGAACAAGTCAACTCAGGTTCTCACTGTTTAGTTCAGGCACCAGCACCCACCATCATAAGCCTGTCAACATCAAAGCAACTTCTTCCAGATCTAGACAACCTGAAATTAAAGCACATGTTTCAGCGCTCACAAGAGAGAGAAAATGTGAAGACTAAAATCAGAAATGTAAACAGCATTGCTTAATAGCGAAGTTACACATTTGTAAGTTGTTACTTAACGCTTGTGGCTAGTGAGGCTGCCTCCTCCCCGAACCAGCTGCTGCACAGCCCCTTCATCCCTGCCTGCCCATCAGTTAGACCCGCGGCTGTAGAGCTGCAGTCTCCAAGTACATTTCTATTGCATGCCAAGCCCAAACCAGCAGCGCAACTCGCTGGCAGTGCACATGGTTAAAGCCATAAGGTGAGGTTTGTATCTCTCACGGTTAAGGACCGACCAGGACATCCTACTGAGCTCAGTGACGTTGTCTCAGCCAGAAATGAGCAGCAATAGAGAAGCAGTGTAACAGCCCTCCCTGGCAGTGACCAGACACGTGCTGCACCCGCCTGCTGACACGAAGCAGGCTCCTCAGCTGAGCCACAGCAGTGGCGTTCACCAATGCTCGCCAGCACAGGCCCTGTCTTCCTATGTAACAACCATTGAACTATCAGATCTGGTCAAACTTCCTAGGAAACAGGAATTTTTGACTCATTACAGCACAGGGTGTAAGAAACGATATATTT